ATTCCATGCTGTGTTTCAGTAAGAACAATACAGATTCTGTATCTGTGGCTCCAGTCAGATATCCAGTAGTACAAATTAGCTTCAAGTTACACATACTGAACAAAAGAGGTTGAGCGAGCGAGCGAGAGGAGGAGGGGAAGGGGAAGGGAGAAAAAAAAAATATTGAACACACATGCAGGCTTTCAATGCCACCTTTAACGCTAACCTGCTTTGAGGAGAAGTAGAAAGTAGGCAAGAATGAACAGCTACGGATTATTGAACTGTTACCAGCACCGTATTTTTTCAGCAACATTTCAGCAGTTTGGAAATTTTTACAGCAAAACCACTATAATAAACGTTCCAAGAAAACCTGTAACTTCCATCTAAGTTAAACTCCAAATTAAGTTAAACATTGGTATAAAATTCCGTTTGAACAATTATAAAAAAGAAAAATACCACCACGTGCACCCTACAGTGCAGTAAGTCTCTTCCTTAAAAGTCTAATGGCTTTCAGATGTAACATTCATTTCTAATGGTTATCTTGCCACACCTGGCAGAAGACAGTACAGTAATGCTGAACGAGCCGTTACGCAGTCCTGTTAGTGTCTTAAGGAATCTAGGAAGCTGGCACCAGTAAAATCCACAGAAAGTCACTCTTGCCTTTTAAGAACTTTTGAACTGTGTTTAAAAAAACCAAAACAAAACAAAAAGAAACCCAACAGGGCAGGAACCTAAATTCTGAGACCCAATGTAAAAGTCAGATTTGGTGGTTCTCAGAGTGACACTGAGGGATTTGTGGGGGAAGGTAAGGGTGGTCAGAGATGGGTTCTCTTGTTGGCCTTGATGTCTCACTGGTTTTCATCTTCCACATCCTGCAGCGCTTCTTTATTCTGTTCTTCACCTACAAAGAGGCAAGCACGTAAGTAAGTAATGGAATACAGCAGAGGGTGCGAGTGGGAAGACGGCAAGGGAACCCGCTGGTACGTCATCATTTCTAAACGCAAGATACTTGAGTAGCAACTTCACTGGTCTCAACACTGATTTGATGCCGTTTACGTTAGAACTTCTTAACTGTATGCGGCTCTTTGCATCAATTCCTTGTATGGAAATACTCGTAGCCTAAACCTCTCATTTCAGCCATGTCCTGTGGTTAGGACTAATGTTTGCATCCCTTTAATCAATTATGTCCTTACCACAGAGAGCAATACCACTTATACATGGCATTGAAATCAAATGGTACACACCAAATCAGGTCTCTCAAAAGGTGTACAACCGAGACAAAGTTACCAGTATGGCTGTAGATCAACACAGCCCTAACACTTCAAAAATCACAAGCCAAAAAAGTACTTCCTTAATAACCTCAATCCACTTGTAAAAAAGGACCTACGAAGAATAATTTTCTAAAGATGTAACTGTAGAAAGGAATATTAAAGAAAGGGAGATCAACATCACGATTTTCCATGCAGCATGCTTAGTTTCTTCAGTGCTAGAGCACTGAAATCTATTTCCCAAAACATCTCCACCAGAGGTTGCATATTGTTTTAATCTTATTCTGTCTAGCCACCCAAAAATGGTCATAGATTCATAGATGTTAGGGGCTGGAAGGGACCTTACAAGATCACCGGGTCCAGCCTGCACATACTTTCCTACTTTTCAAATGCAGTGCAGGAAAGCAGGCCCAGAAGTGAAAAGGTGCAGCTGAGGTTATTAAGGAGGATCATTTTGTGCAGATTCTTTCATGCTTCTTGTTTAACTATTAGTCTGGAGCCAATTAACTGAGCTGCTACATGCAGTGAAGAGCCAGCTATTTCTTTTGAACTGCTGCCTTAAGGAGTTTTTGACTGGTTGTCCCCTGGACCAGAAACATGGATGCTGTATGTACCTTTTCCAGTAATTTAACAGAAGGAACATGTACTAACACTGTCAACTGATTAAAATATTCAGGTAGAACTGCCCTTTAACTATGATGCTTCGAGGGACAATGTAAAACAGAATAATCTATGCCATTCGTCTACAGGAAAACTCAATCAGATCAAACAAGCAACTTTCTGACATCCAAGCAGAATGCCTGCAGACAATGTATCTAGATGCAAGGAAGTCACTAAATAGGTGGTATGGGTGTTTGGGACAATGCTATCCATAGCAAATAAAAAAAGGACCCAAAACATACTTAAATAATGACATTAAACAAAAATAAGACCACTTCTATTGAAAGAGGAAACTGGTAAAGGACCTAACCCTAACCTGAGATGATGATTAAAGTGTATTGCGCATCCCCCACATGCTTTAGCCCACACAAAAGCAAATACCGCGTAACAGGCCAAAAGTGAAAGTACGTCTCATGCCCAAGTATTCTTAATCTCTGTCAAGGTATCCAGCTAATTTACCAAAGGTCTAGATCATTTTTGGTCTTAGTTATACATGTCTGGACCTGGGTAGGTAGGGGTGACAGGCCACAAATTAGCAGAGAAGTGCTTAGCCCTGGAACAGAGTCAGAGATGCAAGCAATTTATCAGGAACAGGACAGTGGTAAGCAGGCACGGTTAGTGACAAGAGAAATTATAAATCGAAAAAGTCACTGAGCCACGGTGAGGACTTACAAAGTAGATTTTTAGGAAATGAACAGTTGGGCTTCATTTTAGGAATCTATACAAACAGGAAAGAAGGGAGAACAGGAATCGTATGAAGACAGTATTACAAGCGTGAAAATAAATACTGCTTGCTTATAACTTGATTAAGAGAGACAATGGAAGTGGAGAGATGTAAAAGTCCAGTCATACTCAATTTGTTAGGAAACCATGCTGTGATACCCAGAACCTAAAGACTAAAAGCAAAAGTGAAGCGGAATGGTACTGAAAAGCCAATACTTTAGAAATCTAGCCATTCTTTCTCCCTCAGATTTGTGAAGCAAATGTGATCATGCTTCCACTTAACATGGTAATTAACATCCCATTAACTAGTCCCAACAGCAAGTCACCAGGCGTGGGCAAATGGCAGATCTGGCCAGCAGCTGGACCCCCATTTTCCAGCAGCCCCTGCCCACGCAGCTCCCACAGTCTCCGTGGAGACCCCAGGAGCATGGGCTGTGACAGCACCCAGCCAGAGAACCAGGACTGGGGCAGCAGCTGCCACTGCAGGGGCTGCTGGGAAATGGAGTCCAGCCTGCCCACCCCTGCTCTAGAAGCATTTATCCTATATTATGGTTTTAGATTTGCCTGCAGATTTCCATGGTATTTCACACATGAAATGGATACCAAATCCCCTCTTTTTTTTCTTTTTTTTTAATTTTCTTCAGAGGTCTGTAGAAATGAGACTATTACACTATACCCTCTGGGAACTCTGATCACAGATTCATAAAAGCGTTACAAATCAAACCCATTTCAAAAGCACTGCAATTTTACATCAGGTGTTACATTTTGAAGAACAGTTACTGTTCTCAAAACATCTCTTTTTTTTAAGGCACCTCTAAGCCATCTTTATTCAAGGAAATTACAACACTGCATGTTAAGCATTGCCGTAACACGCTAACTGAACAACAAGATCCAACAGCACCCAGAGCATTGAAAGGGTAGCTTTCAGTAAGTGACCAGTCCCATCCAGAGTGAACACCTGGGGATTACCTGGTGTTCTGAAACTTGACAAGGCATGCAGAAACTTGGGCCAGGTGGTCATGTGTCTGATTACTAAAAGATAGAAGCAGAACTTCTCTAGAATGCTTCTCAACTGCCCAACCCTTCTTCCTATTGCCAGCCCCTTGCCTCCACAGTTACACTCACAACAGGTTCCTTTTGCTTACTTCTTGGTTCCAGACACCGCCTCAGGCTGAAAACAGACAGTGAAGGAAGCAGGGGCAAGTCAGGGACCCCAACCGTATTACAGGATGGTGGACTAACACGATACAGCAAGGGGTTAGGGGAGGGGTGACAGATGGATGAGTCTCACTTCAGGATATACGGAAGAGCACACTCTTAATGCAATTCTCTCCACCTTCTCAACTCAAGAAAAGGTTGTAGAAACCGACTTGTTAAATGCACCAAATTATTCCCCATACAGGTCTCTTAATTCATTTAGCCGTTCAAGTAACCGCCATTTTCATCAATCCTACCATGTGACATAGCCTACCTCTTAAACAGATTAGTTCAGCCCATGACCTCTAAGCTGGCCTTTTAACTGTGAGAGCACCTACTTCAAAGACATAACAGCAAAGGTGCATTGAATGAAGGTACAGGTAATTACCTTGCTTTCTTCTAATCTAGCAACCCAGTGTCTAGCTACCTGGCTGCTTCCATTAGGATATTCATAGAATGGTAAAGCACCAATCAGTCAAGTACACTTTCCCCCAGCGTGCATCTAGTAAGTACAGTTACCAGTAGGGAGAGTCTGGGTTTCTCCACACTTCCCTTCTCCTCTGGATCTCAGAACCATTCACAAGATCAAAGGAAAGTAGGGCCGAAAGGAACCTCACAAAGTCATCTCATCTAATTCCGCCCCTGCTCAAGGAAGATCAGCCCTGACTAAACAGTCTCATCCAACTTTCTATCCAACCTGCTTCTGAAAATTTCCAGGACAGATTCCACAACTTCTCTAGGTAGCCTGTTCCAGTGCTTGACCACCCTCCCAGTCAGAGAGTTCCTCCTAATCACCAATCTAAGTTTCCTCTGCAGCAGCATGAGTCCGCTGCTCTTAGCCAAGCCCAGCAACATCCTCCCTACAAAGACTGTAGTTATTAGTCAAGTTCCAAAAGGTTATTATATTCCACTGACTTGAAATCCCCTCAAAAATCATTTCAATTACAATTTTGATAGCATAATTCTATCACACATAGGGGATAATGCGTGTGCAAAAGACATCCAGGAACACATTCCAGGAAGCTTAAGTGCACTGCTGACACCAACATCTCAATGCATTTTTAAAGCATCAAGATACTTTTTCTGTCTAAGGGGACTTGCACCATCAGCTGTACAAAGAGAAATACAATGATTTTTGGAATACCTAACTACAGGGCAGAATGCATTTATTCTCAGAACACCCATCAGTACAGATTCATAAGCCTTGGATAAGGACGAACTTGCTGCACATCAAATGAAAGACTCTAGGTTTCACATTGTTGCTACAGGCATTTTGCCCACCCCAGGTTAGACAATGGATTCGTATGAAATACTTTGGATAGAAACGATCCTTCCTCAGGCAGGAGGACGGACTAGATGACCTCTAGATGTCCCTTCCAGGCCTACTTCTCTATGATTCTATGAATTATAATCACACCTCAATGAAAATTGCAAAGATATGCTACTCACCAACCTGTTCTTAACAGTCCACTCCAAGAGCTAGAAAAGCTGCAGAGTGACTTTTTCCTTTTCAAAATCTTTTTTTTAATGAATGTCACCTTTTATCTTAGTGCAGGGAACAGTTTTGTACTAACACTCCTCTAGGACTGATCTCGCAAAAATGGAGATTATATCAGATCGATTTTCAGGGTGAAGGCATGCCACCACTTTTTTCAATGCAGTGGCACCCCTGGCTGAGAGCCACTCTTGGCACTGCCTCAGCTTACGCAAGTGCTTCTGAGCTGGGTAAGGCTGCGAAATTGG